TGTCATCTATAGGTGGTTAATTTATGGCCATTATCTACAATTGGAGGGGTGCTCCTGGGCACTCCCCACCGAGGCCCTATTCGGCTGACCTTAAAATTGGCACTATGTAGCTTGTTTTTTTTCAGCCGGAACAATATTTTTCTCTCACAACAATTCAGCCAGAACAGTGTTTTTCAGCCAAATTCAGCTAAGCGAACAGGGCCCAAGACCGTGACTCCAGATCATCGATCTCATCATTGATGGTCACGGAGAGGAAATCAGACATCATGATTCAACTATCAAGGGTTGAGCTAAGCAATTTGCAACCTATGCTGTAACCAAATACTTTTGTTGTCGATGTTGTTCAATCCTCTAGATGTGTTTTTGTCAAGGGCGTTGAACCCTTGGGTAGCTGTACCTCGGCTACGTAGTTCGTAGCCGCGATCCGTCTTCTAGGGCGAGGTTATACCCCTTAGTGACCTAGGCTTGAGAGTGGGGAGGAAGAAGACAGATTGGTTTATAATTCTCTCCCTTCAAAGTGCCGGTTACAGGGGAAATAAATAATCCTTGATGGGATAAAAATAGTAAACTAATCCCTCCTCAATCTTAGGGATACTAACAACTATTGCCTATCTTAGCCACTAGATGGCTCGACCAGCTCCTGGACCGCGTTCGTGTCGCGCTGGGCGTGCTCAGCCGCACGCATGATGTCACGGGCCCGACGCTTCCTGGTATAGGTCCGGCCGTACATGACATCTCTCCCCTCCTCCTGTACCAGCTCGTCCTCGAGCTAGAACGCTGGAAAGCGCTCGCCGAAGGAGTCCCGGTCCTCCCAAGTAGCTGAAGAAGCCGACTCGCCCTTCCAACGGATGAGGACCTGGTGCACGCCGCGTGCCAGGCGTGTGCGGACGACGCTGTCCGGTTCCAGAACCGTAGCGCCATTGTGGATGACCGGGAGCGGCGGAGGAGCTGCTGGAGGGGGACCCACCCATTTCTTTAGGAGCCCGACGTGGAAGACGTCGTGGAGCCTAGCTCGGGGTGGGAGTGCAACACGAACGGCGACGGCGTTGATGATCTCGGTGACCTGATAGGGGCCGAAGAAGCGAGGTTTCAGCTTCCCTGTCGCGGCGTCGGAAAGGGACACGATGGGGCGATGACGGAGGCGCAGTAGCACCCAGTCGCCCACGGCGTAAGCCACCGCGCGGTGCTGCGTGTCGTAGTGCCGCTTCTGGACCGCCTGTGCCTGTTCCAGCCGGAAACGAACGTCCTGGAGGAACTCCTCGCGCTCGACCATAGTCTTGGCCACAGCAGCAACCCGCGTTTCCCGAGGCTGATAAGAGCGGATGGTCGGGGGATCACGGCCGTAGACGATGCGGAAGGGCATGTCACGGAGGGAGGTCTGGTACGTCGTGTTGTAGACGAACTCCGCCCAAGGGAGCCACCTAAGCCATTGACGAGGACGATCACCTGTGAAACAATGAAGGTACATGGTGATGACACGATTGGCCGCCTCAGTTTGGCCATCCGACTGTGGGTGGAAGGCCGTCGTCATGTGCAACTTGGCCCCCATGAGCCGCATCAACTCGCGCCAAAACGTCGAGGTGAAGATGGGATCCTGATCGGACACCATGGACTGCGGCATCCCATGGAGGCGGATGATGTCGGCGAAGAAAGCCTGAGCGATGGACTCTACAGAGTATGGATGAGCCAATGGAATAAAATGACAATACTTGCTGAAGTGATCCACCACGGTGAGGATGACGGATTTGCCCCGAACTTTGGGCAAAGCTTCCACGAAGTCGAGCCCAATGTCCGTCCACACTGCCGTCGGCACGGACAGCGGCAGAAGGAGTCCCACCGGGTGGAGGTGCTCTGACTTGTACCGCTGGCAAGTGGCACAGGCATGAACAAAGTCCTGCACGTGTTGGCGCATGTTGGGGGAAGTGGAAGTCACGGCAGAGATGATGCAGCGTGCGCTGGACACCCTCGTGGCCGTCCTCATGGATTGCGGCGACGATCTCCAGGAGGAGTGGCGAGGACGGGGCGATGTAGAGGCGATCGTCGTAGGTGATCAAGCCGTCATGGATGGCCCAGGGCGCCACGCGGGTGCCTGCGATGATCTCATCCCGAAGGGCAACGAGAGCCGGATCCACAGCCTGTGCTTGACGAAGGCGGTCGATGAAGTCGAAATGTGGCGCAGACAACGCCAAGACCGCGCCCGTGCTGTCCTCGGTGTCACGGCGAGATAGCGCATCGGCGACCGTGTTCTAGGCGCTCAGCTTGTACTCCACGACGAAGTCGAACCCAAGGAGCTTCCCGACCCAGTGATGCTGCGGGATCGTGGCAAGCCGCTGGTCCAACAGGTACTTCAGACTGTAATGATCGGTCCGCACCGTGAAGCGGCGGCCCCAGAGGTACGGGCGCTAATGGCGAATGGTGTGGATGAGGCCAATGAGCTCCCGTTCATAGGCGGTGAGGGAACGGTGGCGAGGAGCAACTGGCCTGCTGAAGTAGGTGATGGGGTGCTTGTCCTGGATGAGCACCGCCCCGAAACCGTGTGTCGACACGTCGCACTCGACGACGAACGGCTGGGCGAAGTCGGGTAGCGCCAATACTGGCGCGGATGTCACCGCGGCCTTGAGGGTTGAAACGCCGCGGCAGCCTCCTCCTCGACGGCGAAGCCCTCCTTCTTCAAGAGCACGGTGAGAGGCGCCGCGATCACGCCATAGTTGTGGATGAATTTGCGGTAGTAGCCCGCGAGGCCTAGGAACCCGCGCACTGCATGCGTCGAGCGGGGCTGGGGCCAGTCGACCGCCTGCACCTTAGCAGGATCCATGGCTACGCTGGCGTCGGAGATGATGTGGCCGAGGTAGGCGATGGAGGTGACGCCGAACGCGCACTTGGATCGCTTGACGACGAGGTGGTGGTGGCGCAGGACGGAGAGGACGACGCGGAGGTGGCGAAGGTGATCCGCCCAGGACGCACTATAGATTAGAATGTCGTCAAAAAATACGAGAATGAACCGGCGGAGGAAGGCGCGAAGGATGTCGTTCATCAGCGCCTGGAATGTGGCCGGGGCGTTGCAGAGGCCAAACGACATCACCAGGAACTCGTACAGCCCCTCGTGTGTGTGGAAAGCGGTCTTGGCGATATCCTTGGGCACCATCCGGACTTGGTGATAGCCGGAACGGAGGTCGAGCTTGGTGAAGAATTTGGCGCCGTGTAGCTCGTCGAGCAGCTCATTGACCACCGGGATCGGGAAGGCGTCCTTGACCGTGATGGCGTTCAGGGCGCGGTAGTGGACGCAGAAGCGCCAGGAGCCATCTGCCTTCTTGACGAGGAGGACCGGGGACGAGAACGCCGACGAGCTCCGCCGAATGAGCCCTTGCTGAAGCATGGCGGTGCACTGCTGCTCCAGTTCATCCTTGTGCGTGGCCGGGTAGCGGTATGGGCGCACGGCCACCGGCTGGGACCCGGGCTAGAGGACGATGTGGTGGTCGCTGCTCCGAGGAGGAGGCAGGCCACTCAGCTCGGCGAAGAGGTCGGAGAAGCCCTCGAGCAGCTCGTCCAGCAGTAACGTCGTGGCCGTGGTCACGTGGGCACTGGTCGCTGTCGGCCCTGCCAGTCCACTCCAGCACAGCTCAAGGCCCTCGAGCTGGAAGGAGACGATACGGGTGCTGAAATCCCAAACGATGGGTCCCAGCATCGCCAGCCACTAGGTCCATAGGACCATGTCGAAGCCGGCGAGAGGCATGACGTAGAGGTCGGCGTGAAATGGCGTGTCGTGGATGGAGAACGCTGCGCTGCGAGCGACGCCCACGCAGGACACGTGCTCACCATTTGCCACGGTGGCGGTGAGACGTGGCCGGAGCTGGAGAGGGAGGCCGGTGAGCTATGCCGCATCGTCCGAGATGAAGTTGTGCGTGGACCCGGAGTCCAGAAGCGTGACGAGGCGAGTGGCGCCCAGCTGGACGTGGACCTGCATGGTGTCGCTGAGGCGGACACCGGCGATGGCCTACAGGGAGAAAGCGGGCGACTCCTCAGAGCCCGCTTCCTCGGTGGCCTCCTCCGTGTCGTCGTCCTCCATGGTGCCGTCCAGGAAGAAGAGGCGCTTGCAGACCCGGTTATGGCCGCGGGAGAACTTCTCGTCGCAGTTGTAGCAGAGGCCGAGACGGCGGCGTTCTTCTGCTTTCGACGTCGTCGCCAGCTGATCGGTGGCCGACCCTCGATGGCGGCTGGTGGAGAGGTGGAGCCCTTGGTAGCCGCGCCGCCGCGGCGGCGATGAGACGTGGGGCGGGGCGAGGCAGGCGCCTGTTGTTCGCGTGGCTAACGGTGGTCGAAGGCACCGTGAACTGCTCCCGCAGTTCCAGCTGGCGGGCCAAACTCATCGCGGCCGCCAGGGACTGGGGGTTGTGCACCTGCACGTCGAGGCTGAGCGGTGGCAGTAGTTCGTCGGTGAAGAGCTGGACGCGTTGCGCCTCATCGAGGGGGCCGGCCCGGGGAAGCAGCGCCTGGAACCGATCCTGATAGTCGGCGACGGTCTTTGGTCGGGCGGCAATCGGCGAAGCTCAAGAGAGGCGCGGACCGCAGGGGCGGCTCGTACCGCAGGTTGATGAGCTCCTTGAATCGGCGCCATGATGGAGTACCCTCGTCTGTCTGGACTTGGATGTACCACATCTGGGCCCCGTCCTCCAGGTTGTAGGAGGCCATCCAAACCTTCTCCTCCTCCATGATCCGTTGTTGGTGGAAGTAGGATTCGCAGCGATTAAGAAAGATCAGCGGATCAGACTTGCCATCGTACCTCGGGAAATCCATCTTCTGGAATTTGGGAGGACGATCGATAGGAAGGGCTCCCTCGGTGTGCTTGGAGCCCGAGGATGACGAGCGATCGGTGGAGAGGGCCGTGATCGCCGTCGCGTTGGCCTCGACGGTGGCCTGCAGGTTCTGGACTGCCTTCGCGAGCGACTCAACGGTGGATCTCAGATCGTCGCCCATGCTGCTGGCGTAGGAGGACACGGGCGATGGCTGCTGGATTGGAGGTGGAGTGGGCGGGTCGGCGGCTGGTGGTGGGGGTGGAGAATTGGCGTGGAAAGAAGAGGATCACCGGGATTGTGATACCAGGTTGTCAAGGCGTCGAACCCTTGGGTAGCTGGACCTCGGCTATGTAGTTCGTAGCCGCGATCCGTCTTCTAGGGCAAGGTTATACCCCTCAGCGACCTAGGCTTGAGAGTTGGGAGGAAGAAGACAGATTGGTTTATAATTCTCTCCCTTCAAAGTGCCGGTTACAGGGGAAATAAATAATCCTTGATGGGATAAAAATAGTAAACTAATCCCTCCTCAATCTTAGGGATACTAACAACTATTGCCTATCTTAGCCACTAGATGGCTCGACCAGCTCCTGGACCGCGTCAGTGTGTTGCTAGCGCGCCAGCCACCTGCGCCTGATGTCACGGGCCCGGCGCTTCCTGGTATAGGTCCGGCCGTACATGACAGTTTTGGACTAGTTCCAAAACCTGGGATCTTGTGAGAGGGTAGGTTACTGAAATTGCCTGAGTTTGTCACGGCTCTTCGTCGACTCAGGGAATTGTGCCTTGAATCAACTAGATTGACAGCTGATCTTCTAACAGCTTTGGGTGATTTGAAAGACCTGCTATACCTGAAGCTGATTGCAGATGAACTTGATCAGATCACCTTTAGGAACAGTGCGTTGCCCAAACTGCTCTGCCTTTGTTTTGTGGTGAAACATCCGACATTTCCAAAGATTGAAGGAGGTGCTTTGCCACATCTCATATCACTTCAGCTGATATGTGAAAAAATGGATGGCCAGTGCAGCATCCAGATCAAAGGCTTTAAATGTCTGAGGGAAGTAGTTCTTGACGATGAAGTCAACACTGATACTAAGGCAAAATGGGTACAGGCGGCCAAGGAACACGAGAACAGGCCAAAAGTTCTTCTGCTCAAAAGGGCTGCTCCACCCCAGGGGGCAACTGAGATTGAGATTACAGAATGCTCAGTTGTATCAGAGGGACCAGTACAACAAACTGACATCCAAATGCCGCGACAGGATCCGCTGAGTGCTCCAGTCATGGTGGGCCCTGGCGCTGGACTGCAAGGGGCCCAGGCGGCGGTGTCATCTACCGTGGCTCCAGCGCCGGTACACGATGACAGTTACAGCTCCAATGGTTCAACAGCATTGGTTCCATCGGTTACGTCTACAGCTACAGCTCTAATGGGTCTAGGTGTAACACCTGCGACACTAGTGGCTGCCCTGGATGCCACAGAGACCAAGCACATGGACTTCCCCGAATCCTCAGCGCAAGGTGCAGCAAGAGAGGTGATTCCATGTTAAGTGATGATGATGATGCCACCAGCACTTGGGTAGTCAATCTCTACTGGACTCTATTCTCTATTACGGTGTACGGATACCTTTTATATGGACTTGTCGGGACGGAGTCCGTGGAGGATACATTACTCTGCTGGCTGTATATATATACTACACATAAATAAATGGGACTGTTTACATATCTGTTGACAGATTTTAACAGCCCAAATCTCTCACTTTTTTGACCAATCACAGCTTTAGAAAACCTGACAGATAACTACCAAAAAAAAAATCTGTCAAAACTGTTAACGGGTCTAAAAAAAAACCAATACAAAAAAAATCTGTCACATAAACAGCAGGCCTCCAAAAAGACCCAGTAGTATTGTACAGCCCCAAAACGGACGAGACTAATCAGCACAAAAGAAGCAGCCAGCCGCAACAGATCGAAGCAGTGGTGCCATGTAGACTATGATGTATGGTCGCTGCTTGTTGTTGGTGCAGTGTGTATCTCCTTGCACGGGGCACAAATCTGTCCACCAATCGGTTGTCTTTGTCGCAGTTTGCTTTTGTTTCGGTCCATATTCTCCTAGCCAGTTTCCACCTGCTGCCACACTCTCTTGGCTAGGTACAGTTGGCTACCATACGAGTGGCGTTGCCACACTCTTGGCATAGGTATAGTTGACTACCATATGAATGGGAGATTTCGGCCTGGAGTAGCATAGTTTTCAAACTAGATTTGTCTAGCCTCCCCACTTGATGATTCGGTCTGCCGTTGGTAGCTTTCTCTAAAGTTGGAGCATGACCAAGAAACGCCACTTTGGTTCTGCCTTTATTTCTCAAGGGCATATTCACTGGCTTCATCACTGAGCTTTTCACTGCAACCTTTCTTCAGAATATTGTCGCAGAAGGTAGCCAACAACTTAGCACTCCAACCATGACACCTCTGTTACAGAAGACCTCAAAGGCTTCTTTAAGTACCTGTGGTAAGAATTATATGAGAATGAGATACCATTTGCAATTTTGTGGCAACAGCAACATGAAAATGAGATATTTCAGTTGAAGACCTTATGGAAGAGTGTATGTCCCTGGAAACATTCTGTCACATAAGCTACATATCTGTCATGCAGCTCGATGATTTTCCACACGAAAGCAGAATGCTAAAAACAAAAGAATAAATATAAGGAAATATAACACAACAAAAGCAGAGTGAAATCAAGATACACACCTGTTCTTGCATGCCAAGCATATCCTTCTTTTCTGGCTGTAAAAGTAATGAGTTGTACCAAAAATTTAGGGAAGATAAATCAGAAAATTAATCAAATATAGCAAGAAAAATAAAACAGCTAGGTGGCAGAATATCAAGCATACAAAGTGGTAATGTAAAAAGAAAAGGACTGGGAAATGGGAACTACTTAGCAACCTGCCATTGGAGGTAAGATGCAAGCTGTTACAAACTATTAATGTGGATAAAGGTTACATAATAAATAGTTAAAAACAGTTAAAGAAACATTGTACATTCTTATTGCTAGCAGAATCTTCTAACAGATAATATGGAGAGAGAGAGAGAGAGAGAGAGAGAGAGAACAAACACACACCCACACACACAGACAAACACGCACACAAACACCAGCAGCATGCGGCATGACATCATTTATTGTCTTTGAAACTGAAACAAAGCATGCGCATGACATCTAGAGTGCTTAATTAAAACAGCAGCAATGGCAGCTTCATTGCATACACAGGTGCGATGATGGAAGACAACAACACAAGGTATACTAGGAGATATAAGCTATCAGAATTCAAGAACAGCGGTCCTGGTCACTCCACAACATCAGTAGGTCGGGAGATTTCCATCCTACTGACCTCTCTATGGATTGTTTCAGGGCAACAGCTTCCATGATCTCGTCCCCACCATCGTCTTGATGGTGAAAGAAAACAACCAAGGTCACATGAGAACCATGACTACTGATGATGGGCAAAGAGAGACAAAGATCACATGCTTAACAATGCTCTGGGGAAAGAAAAAAACTGACGTTGGTGTCGGAAGTCCATAGGGTCAAGTTGTCACGCAGAAGCTGCATGAACAGAGTGCTGTCCTTGTAGGACTCCTCTCCCAGGCTGTCTAGCTCAGAGATTGCCTCATCAAAAGCCTACAAGAAACATTACATTTAATTCAAGTCAACTCCAGCAAATATTAAGTGAATGATGCTTAAATTAATGACGACATCAAGTGTACTTCGTTGCCTAGGAATGCATCTGTCATCTTAAGTACTATATGAAGACTGTCCTGTCCAACTTCATGTATTCTAGGCCAGTTGTCAGTCTAGTCTAGCCATCATAGAAGGGAAATTGAGAATGCTCTAGGTGACTTGCAACCATTAGGTTGTAGCTTGTCAATGTTCAATATGAAATAGAAAATGTATGCAAGAAGACATGACAAATTGAGTGAAGAAACAACAGCCTGGCAGTAAAAGAAGCATTTGTTAACATCCCAGAGTAATTAGACCCATTACTTGAATATGACACACCTAATAGTAAGAGATAATGTTTCAGCGAATACACATGCAGAACACAAACCTGCATTGCATGCACACAAACAGTAATCCCCCAAGAGTGCTAGAAAATCAGTTCGGGGATGCAAAGTAGTTCATCCTAGGGATCTACAATTTACCACAAACCAGTAATTCCCTATAGAGGGTCAGCAACATGTAAGTTGCAGGCTAGCGGTGATGGCCATCAATCAAGTTTTCTTGCAATCCTAATTTAAAACTGAGTTATTACAATTTATGAACCCATGGCATCATATATAGCTACAAATGAATTATTTCCTCTACACCATCTTTTATTGGACAAAACAAACCCTACATAAGCAGATGGAGACAGAAGTTGTCTGTGCACTCAGCCAGTTGTCCAGCTACACAATCTAGGACACATCATGTCTACAAAAGAAAACAAATCACAAAGGGAGATGGGAGGAGAAGAAGCAAACCTGTTTTCCAAGGTTGCAAGCACGATCAGGAGAGTTCAGGATCTCATAGTAGAACACTGAGAAGTTGAGAGCAAGCCCAAGCCTGATGGGGTGGGTTGGAGCCAGATCAGCTAGAGCAATATCCTACAAACCAAAAACCAACAACAATGAATCAAATTAACAAGATACGCACGGTCGTCAGACTATCAATATGTACACGAAGATCAAACCTGAGCAGCTTTGTAAGCATTCATGGTGCTCTCCATAGCATCCTTCCTCTCTGCACCTGACTTAAACTCAGCAAGGTACCTGCAAAATCATCATGAGGAGAAATCAGTTACCAAGATTTATGTGCACAGTAGGGGGTAAAAAATTCCATGGATTACAAAATCATATCCTTCAATCTTCTACTGTAAGAGAGCACATCATGATGTATCATATAGACAAATTCATAGGTAGCAACCTCAACATGCACCATAAATAAAAGAAAAATAGCCTCACTAAAAAACGTCACAGGCATCACAATCCCTTACCCTTTTTATCTTTTGACTTTCCGTCACAAATAACAAGAGTATAAACCCAAAAAAAATTAAAACAAAAATATCACGCATTAAATTTAGACCAAATCATCACAAAGAACTCAGGCCCCTATCACCCCCACACAAAACAAATACACCCACAGCCACACAAAAACCCACACACAAAAAGGGCAAAATAAGCAACTCAACTAAATTCACCAAAAAAAAATCAATGTTCAAAGCTGCTGCAACAGCAGCTCTAAAAGCAGACCCACATCCACACAAACACACAAAGACACACACACAAACACAGACACACTCACACTCAGACCCCAAAGCTAGTATACAAATGTACAATCAACTAAACTAAAAAAAGGAAAAAAGGAAAAAAAAAACATAAGTTAATCCTACAAAGAGGCCCACAAAACACACACACACACACACATACGCCCACACACACCCAGAGAGAAATGAAAGCAAATAAATTAACCAAAATCAAACAAAACCAAAGGTAATTAGTTGACAACAAAAAATTCACCATTACAAAAAACAAATCAACTAAATTCAACAATACAATTCTGAATCGACAAATCAAAATATCAGATACATATTAAACAAGTTTGCAGAAAACTTCAGTCAAACTAAACAGCACAAACTGGAACACAAAGACCATAAACACAAAAGCAACATAAAACAAACAACCTAAGCAGCAAAGCAAAAATTCCCACACCAAGCTGCTAATACACAAAGGTGCACTGCGCTGGTCAGTCCACAAATAAAAAATATCATATACATATTAAACAAGTTTGCAGAAAACTTCATCAAACTAAACAGCGCAAACTGGAACACAAAGAGCATCTGTAGAAAAAACAAACAAACCGAAACTTTACAAGCTGAGTGCAAGCAGGTGCAGTGCAGTAGTTAATCCGAGCTGAGGGGCAAAAGAACAGTACTTGTGGTGCACAGTATGTGGATTTTGCTCTGCAGAACTCGGACTAGAGCAAACGTAGTAGTGTAGCAGAAGAGTGCTACAGCATACTGCGTGCACAGCAGCACAGGTAAACATCTGCTGAATGAATGCATGATAAAGGCTCAATGCAAGCTGGAGTGTAGCACACGATCGAACAAAAGCAAAATTTCCTGGCGGAGATTCAGCGCTGTGGGTGTGGTGCAGACTGCAGTGGCAGGCCAGCGGTCATTAGCGCCATGATTAGTGCTAGCCAAGAAGAGGAAAGACACAGACAGACAGGCCGGGAGCAAAGCAAAGAAAAAGGAGGCTTAATCTTAGCTTTAGCTTCACCTGTTCACCAGCTAGCATAGCTAGCTTTATTTAGTGTAGCTTGAGGTTTCAGGGCCATGCAATGCAACTACTCCTACTCCTACAGTCCTACTGCATACAGACGCAACCAAAACAGAAAGCAAAGCTTGCTCAATCGGATTAAAGTTGCTATTTGCAGTACAGTACTATATATATGGTCTGAAAAGCAAAAGTTCAGTTCTGTTTGAAATCAAATCAAATCATCATCATGAATCAGCAGTGACCCAGGGGCACCAGCAATTAGCAAAGTGGGTCCGATCGACGCCCGAGCCCAGCTTGGTTGCTGTAAATGGTGTCGGTCGTCGGGCGGTCAGCCAGTGAGCTACTCTACTGCTTTTGCTTGTATTGTACAGGACCACGACTCATTCTTTTTAACTCATATAACTATGTAACAGTGGGTATTTTTCTTAAAGACCTGCACTGTACATTCATTAATCATTGGAAAGCACTTTGAAATTTTTTTTACCGAGGGATGTAATATATGGAGGAACAAAAAGGGTAGGACCTACCCATCTGTAAATACATATTTACACTACAGTCAACAAGAACTAAACAAAAGGAAAAGGAAAACAAAAAACTAAAGTAAAAAATATTCTCTATGAGAAATGAAAAAAAACTAATTTAGTGGCAAAGGGCATTCCAGTTGAATTTGCACATGAAGAATAACAGAGGATATCACTTTTACATGACTCCTTCAGGCCTCCAGGAGGAGAATGCTAAAACTATTAGAAATCAGAAGCATACTGAAAAGCAGTTCCTCCACACAAATTCAAACCAGTCACAAAATGAAGAAGCTCCACTCCACTGTAGTGTTGGCAACTCAAAACTTAACTGGACATATACCTCCCGATGACTGTCTGCTTGCAAGACAATGACTACACACTACTGGAAACAGATACTTTGCCGAGTGCAAAATTCTTTGCCGAGTGTTAAAAATCGGGCACTCGGCAAAGACCTTCTTTGCCGAGTGCGGCACTCGGCAAAGAATTACACTCGGCAAAGAGTTCTTTGCCGAGTGCCAGGCACTCGGCAAAAAAGTGCACTCGGCAAAGGACTTCTTTGCCGAGTGCCAGACTCTCGGCAAAAACGCGGCACTCGGCATAGGCTGCCCCGCGTAACGGTGTTCGGCCACGTCCTTCTTTGCCGAGCGCCTGCTGTTAGGCACTCGGCAAAGATTTGTTTTTTTTTGTTTTTAATTTCTTTGCCGAGTGCCCCAGATCTGGCGCTCGGCAAAGAATTTTTTTTTATTTTTAAAATACTTTGCCGAGTGCCCTCTGGACGGCACTCGGCAAAGATTTAATTTTTTTTTATTATTTCTTTGCCGAGTGCTCCTGTGGATGCACTCGGCAAAGAGGAAATTTAAAAAAAATTAAAACATTCTTTGCCGAGTGCCTGATGGCTGGCACTCGGCAAAGACACCCTTTGCCGAGTGCCATGCCCCGGCACTCGGCAAAGTTTTTTTGTTTTTTTTGTTTTTGGCCTCCAATTTTTTTGTGCAGCCTTTTTAAAGCACCAGGAACTCCTAGTTACAATTTGGGGACTTTTTGTGGCTTTTTGTTATATTTAGTTACTTTATTTCGTTTACTTGAATTTTTTCGGAAATTAGAAATTTGAACTGCACGTGGTACGAATAATGGAGTTTAATGATTCGAAAATTGATAGTCATGTTAGTGAGTGTTATGAGAGGCCGTATCCAGGAACGGACCCGAAATTTCGGACATCTTGTTCACGAAACATGTCCGCGAAATTGCGTGTGAAGTGTTTATAAATTCTATAAAAAGCAAACCAAGTCCGAAAATCATGAAACTTGTTGAGATGTCGTGATATCATATGTGGAGGCTATGATAAAAATTTCAGAAGATTTTGTCCGCGTCGTCTCGCCACTGCACCGACCCGCCACGGCCCCGCTAGCCTGACTCCGTCGCCACCCTAGGTATAACCCCTCTTTTCGTATCATTGTCGTAGATCGCGTAACCCAGTTAGGCGTCTCCCGTTCGAAAGAGATACGGTTGGAGGTATGCAGATCTTTGCATATTTATGACCGTATCTATTTCGGATTGTCCACGCTTTTTGGACAGCCAGCGGATGCGTAGATGGGTTAGTTTCCATGTTACGCTCTAGTCCGAGAGCGAGTTTTGAAGCATCACCTCCTGTTGTTCTCCGGATACACACTCTTCTTTGGCGGGGCGTGTATCTGGAGAACAATGAGAAAATCTTTTAAAATTTCATCTCGAATAGGAAGAGCATGGAAACTAACCTCATCTACATCTGCAAGGGTGGGATTAGGACCTATCCTCACCTATTAGACAAGTAGGAACACCATGTAGATGCAATTAATGGTTACATTACTCGCCGATACATATGTTAGAGGATGGATGACCGTCGATTGGATGTACACGGGCTGGAGAAGTCGAGTGATTACACCACGGAATGGATGAACAAGACCGATGCTTTCTTGAATAATTGCATTTGCTTGCGCCGCTAAAGGACATTGCCTAGTTTTGTGTCCCTGCGGCAAATGTGGAAACAGGAGAAGGGTAAACAAGGTGGAAATGGGTAAACATCTTGTGAAGAATGGATTTACGCGGACTACACCCGGTGGGTCCACCATGGTGAAGCCCATCGTATGAGAGAGGAGGTGGTGAGACCACGGGTGGAGGCTTTTGATCTTGATGCCGGGTAGCGACATGTTAGATGACTTTCACCAAGGACAGTTCGATGAGGGACGTGAGAAGGAGGAGATGGAAGCAGCCGCCGAGGCGTTCTACGATATGATGGACTCGGCACGAAAAACCCCTTCACGATCGGTCAACGGTGTCTCAACCGGATGCCATTGGGCGCTTAATGGGGTTGAAGTCCGAGTTAAACTTAAGTCGACACAACCCGATAAGATGTTGGCCGTGATTGGCACCTTGCTTCCGGAGGGCCACATTCCTCGCAAGAGAGCATGTACGAGTCACGAAACTCCTTGAGCACTTAAGATGCCGTATGAGCGAGATACATGCTTGTCCGAAAGGGTGCCTCCTATTTAGGAAAGAACACGAGCATGCAAAGTTACATCCAAAGTGTAAATCCTCCGGTACACCGAGGTAGACTCGATGATGGCGGAAGAGGCAACTTACGATCCCCATGAAAATCCTCGGTACCTTCCGTTCCCTACCGAGGATCCAACGACTATACATGACCGAGGAATCCATGAAACAGATGACATGGCACAAAAATGGCAAACGGTACAATCCTGACAAGATGGTACATCCATCCAATGGTGAAGCTTGGATCCGCTTTAATGACAAACATCGTGACAAAGCAGATGAGGCTCGTAATGTACGTGTCGCGTTGGCAACAGATGGGTTCAATCCTTATGGAATGATGGCTGCCCCATACACATGTTGGCCTCTGCACGGCCGCCCAACCACCTCCAGGAACATCTGCACGGGAGCACCACGGCATGACGCCGACGCTGGTTGCCGGCCGACCTGTGCACTTGCACGTGGACGCGGTCTCGGGCATGGGTAGGCTCCTATGCGCTTCAGTCCCAGCCATGGACGCCCACGCGAGGACGGCCACGCCGGCGTTGGGCCCTTGTTCGCCGTGCTAGGTCGCGGGCATGCATAGCATATGCAGCCTGCCTCTCATCGCTAGCCGGCATCCGCACGTGGCAGCAGTGGCCGTCCAACCACCTCCAGGAGCATCTACACGGGAGCACCGTGGCTTGCCTCCCAAGTCCGAACAGGACCTTCGCCTCCTCGGCCTCCTCGTCCACCATGGCCGGATCTGAGCATGGAGGGGAGGCCGGCTATTGAATCGACCATGGGGAAGGATGTGGGTGACGCTGGGATGGGTATGGTGGAGCGGAAGTCAGACAGCGCCAGAGGGAGTGCTACCACTCTGCAGTTTGCTCTGGTAGACTGGACTGGTGGTGGTGGCGGTGGTCGGATGGATGGGTTGGCTAATGACTGCCGCGCGAACAGTGCGAGGGAAGGGAGAGAGCGGCCATGCCGACTACCGACTACTGACTGCGTGAGCGAGCAAGACGTGAGGAGGGGCAGTGACGAGGTGCGTGATGTGCGGTGGAGCAGAGGGCGATTTCGGGTGGTGACGAGATGCGAGACGGGGCTTAGCCCTGACCAGCGAAAAACGGATCCCCATCTCATTTTCCTGGGGCCAGGCCATGACCTCCAGAGTGGCTTAGTTGGGCCTGGCTTCGGGCTGTTTACAGGCACAAAACAGCTGAAAGTTGGCTTCCTGGAGTCTGATTGAGGGTTAGCCACCCAACCAAACAGGCCATATATATCACCACTACTACTAAAACTGATTTTCAGAGACACCTACTTTTATTTGTCACAAATTTCCACCATCTATATATGTAAATATCTAAGAGCCTGAAGGACAAAACCCACATCTAAAAATCATTTTCATAGGTGGTTGGATTAAGAGGACCATCTCCATAAATGGGCTTCCCTGCCCCCTCATCGCTCTCTATCATATTTGTCTTCTTCCTCCCTAGTTCCCAACCGCAGACACCTGCCAGCGCCTCTCTTACTCACCGCATGTCCCTCCCCACCGCTGCCCCCGACTCTTTGTCCACATTTTCCCATCACTACCACTGCCTTCGTCCCGCCGTCCACATCTGCTCCTCTCCACCCTCTCTTTCCCCGCCGGGCTTGCCTACCTCTCAACACCACCCATGCCCACTCGCCGCCCTAGCCTGCCTCTCTACATCCGAAAGCGTCCTCATAGGAGCAGACTTGTCCTGCGATGCAGATTGAAAGCGTGTGTCTAGATCCAATGGCAAGGCTTGTACATTCGGTGGCTAGACAGTGGAAGATCTCGGTGACTCAACTTCGATCATGACAGATGTTTGGTCCAGCAAGGAAAAAAGTCACTATGCACAAGTTGGCGTTATATGCTGACTTCTGCTTTCTTGATTCCTATTCACTTTGGATATATCCACTTTGTATAATAGGGCAGAAACATAAACATAACAGAGCAGAAATGCAAACACCTTTACAATGACAATGGATTCGGAAACATCTTATAGAGACATGAAATGAGTTTGTTGTCTTTCTTCCAAATGTCAGTTACATATATGATCGATGACAGTCCTCCAAAAATATAAGAGTAAAGTTTATAGGTAACAAATGATAGCCACAGAAGAAGTAACAGTGTAACTTCCTAACAAATAAGAGATAAGGCTTGATGCATATACATTGTGAAGTTTCGTATTACAAATTAAGTAACTAAAGGCAGAGAGCATAACAATAAAAATAATAACGTGAAAACAGAATACAATCAGGAACAGATAGCTTCAAAATAATATATATTAACCTGTTATCATGGCTAAAGATGCATAACAGTTATAGAAGAAACATCTAAAATATGGACAATGTCCACAAAAGAAAATAAGTGTGGCTATAAATAAACAAACTAAAACAAGTTATCACATAGACGGATGGCATGTGCACATGTATCATTATTTCATCGACATAGAATAAAATATTGCATATGAATATTTCCCATGTGTGGTGTGTGGGGGTTGGGTTGAGGGGAAGACAAGAATCTACTGTGGCACCCAAAAGACCAAAAATCACGATAACAAAACCATGAGGAAAATGGCTTCTCAGATACTCAACTGACACCAATTCATGATAAGGAAATAAGAATCCAGAAGGATAATACCATCGATACATAAAACTGTTGAACCCTAAGAGGAGAGAAGGTATAACATTTGTTTAATCCTAAACTCAAGCACCGGAAATGGAAAATGGGCGCGTAACTTGCAAGAAAAATGTAAATTACAAGGAGAGGACCCAGACAAAAAACTCAATTACGGTCACAAAATTCATGGGCACTTGGGCTCAGTCTACTTAAACATAATCAGAACAAAAGCTGACTCGCAGTCCTATAAAAAAAGATGAAGACTCACTGAATTATGTAGTGTCCATATTTCCAAACACGATTCAGCTGTCCTACAGAAACTACTAAAATGCGATTCATGACAAGGATCCAAAAGGAACTACTTAGCAAATAACAGTACACAACAAGCAACCATATAAATTTTGTTTGCAAATACTATTAGAAGTTTTAATGAACGTGGATAGACAACATGAAAGCAAAATAATTGTAAAGTAGAAGGGATCCAGACAAATTGATGTATCAGTCCAGTTAACCAAAACCAGAATATAAACATTTAAAACTAAAGCGCAAAACACAATTAAAGCTAGATTTGCAGAGCCCAATAGCACAAAGCAAATCCTATGCCAAGTCCAAACCCCATGCCACGCACAGGAGTCCAGATCTGGCGGCAAGGAGCTCCATGGCACAAAAAGATCCATTTAATTTGTATCTAAATTGTCTATCTCTGTCTACAAAAAATAATCTACTCATCACATTTATGTCTAAATACCATAATTACACAACCTGAAAGTATGGTATATATGTTTAATAGCACACTTTACTACTTTAATACAAAAATAATGTAATATGACACCATGTTGACTAAGTAAACATTCATGCATTAGGATTAAAGTTTATTTCCTAATAAACCACGTATTAATTGCACTGACAATTTATTTTTAATTATCTTATAAACATAAGTTTGTAATTCGTTAATTTAGATTAGATTATACATTTAAACCAAAACATACCGTTAGTTTTACTCTAAGCACTCTTTTTCTATAAAGGAATCTACTCCCTAAATTCCAAATTATAAGATTTTGGCTTTTTTTATAATAAATGCATTGTTTTTACTATGTTCCTAAATATAGTTTATATCTAAGTGTACAGAAAAAGTTATATATCTAGAAAAGCCAAAATATCTTATAATTTAGAATGGAGTCCATAGTTACTCTTTGATAGAAGAAATTGATGAAACCTCCGGTACTTATTATACATCGTAAGATCTAATAATATGCCAGAGAAGCAAGGTTGATAGGTTAATTTTGTACATATTCCAAGACATCTCGATAACGGAAGCAACAATAGCAGCAGGAGCCGCTGCCGCCTTCAGAGCTCCTTGTTGCCACCATCTAGGGCCTCTCTCCTTTTCTCTCTCTCTCTAGCTAGTCAACCGGAAACAAGAAGAAGGGCCTATCTTTCACTAAGAGTAGTTTTTAGATCTAGCTTGTTTTGGTTTATTCTAAATAAATCCATCAGTGAAATTAGATAATTTTTTGTCGGGTGTTTATTAGCTGTGATTTCTTAGGTGATTGCTACTGACGAGATCGCTTGAGCATTGATGTCATCTATAGGTGGTTAATTTATGGCCATTATCTACAATTGGAGGGTGCTCCTGGGCACTCCCCACCGAAGCCCTATTCGGTGACCTTAAAATTGGCACTATGTAGCTTGTTTTTTTCAGCCGAACAATATTTTCTCTCACAACAATTCAGCCGAACAGTGTTTTTCACCAAATTCAGCTAAGCGAGCGGGGCCCAAGACCGTGACTCCAGATCATCGATCTCATCATTGATGGTCACGGAGAGGAAATCAGACATCATGATTCAACTATCAAGGGTTGAGCTAAGCAATTTGCAACCTATGCTGTAACCAAATACTTTTGTTGTCGATGTTGTTCAATCCTCTAGATGTGTTTTTGTCAAGGGCGTTGAACCCTTGGGTAGCTGTACCTCGGCTACGTAGTTCGTAGCCGCGATCCGTCTTCTAGGGCGAGGTTATACCCCTTAGTGACCTAGGCTTGAGAGTGGGGAGGAAGAAGACAGATTGGTTTATAATTCTCTCCCTTCAAAGTGCCGGTTACAGGGGAAATAAATAATCCTTGATGGGATAAAAATAGTAAACTAATCCCTCCTCAATCTTAGGGATACTAACAACTATTGCCTATCTTAGCCACTAGATGGCTCGACCAGCTCCTGGACCGCGTTCGTGTCGCGCTGGGCGTGCTCAGCCGCACGCATGATGTCACGGGCCCGACGCTTCCTGGTATAGGTCCGGCCGTACATGACATCTCTCCCCTCCTCCTGTACCAGCTCGTCCTCGAGCTAGAACGCTGGAAAGCGCTCGCCGAAGGAGTCCCGGTCCTCCCAAGTAGCTGAAGAAGCCGACTCGCCCTTCCAACGGATGAGGACTGGTGCACGCCCGCGTGCGGCGTGTCTGACGACGCTGTCCGGTTCGAAACCGTAAGCGCCATTGTGGATGACCGGGCGGCGGAGGAGCTGCTGGAGGGGACCCACCCATTTCTTTAGGAGCCCGGCGTGGAAGGCGTCGTGGAGCCTAGCTTCGGGGTGGGAGTGCAACACGAACGGCGGCGGCGTTGATGATCTCGGTGACTGATATAGGGGCGAAGAAGCGAGTTTCAGCTTCCTGTCGCGCGGCGTCGGAAAGGGACACGATGGGGCGATAGACGGAGCGCGCAGTAGCACCCGGCCGCCTGGCGTAAGCCACCAGCGCGGTCTTGCGTGTCGTAGTGCCGCTTCGGACCGCCTGCGTGCTGTTCGGCCGGAAGCGAACGTCTGGAGGAACTCCTCGCGCTCGACCATAGTCTTGGCCACAGCAAGCAACCCGCGTTTCCGAGGCGATAAGAGCGGATGGTCGGGGATCACGGCCGTGAGACGATGCGGAAGGGCATGTCACGGAGGGAGGTCTGCAGTGCGTCGTGTTGTAGACGAACTCCGCCCAAGGGAGCCACCTAAGCCATTGACGAGGGCGATCACCGTGAAACAATGAAGGTACATGGTGATGACACGATTGGCGCCTCGGTTTGGCCATCCGATTGTGGGTGGAAGGCCGTCGTCATCATACAACTTG